TTTCAATATGTAGGAGCAAAACTAATAAACTCCAGGCTCCAAGGAGACGTCAGTGTATTTAACTGATCATGCAGACGCTTCATGCACGATGAATGAAGCTGAGCTCTGCATCAGGGTTGCCAGATAAATATAAAATATCTTATTTACCACCTCCTTTTCTTTGCACATGTTCAACAAACACACACCTCATCTTAGAATATCTTCACTCAGCACATCTGACAGTTTAGCTCAAAATACTTTCATTTTAAACCCACAGAACTACAGTTCATCATTTCTTATCTGGCAACCCGACTGACACGGAAACTACAGCGTTTTTCATGTAAACCTGCTCATTTTTTGTTTATTATTGAAGAAACACTAACGTTTCCAGAGGTTGTTCTTGTGCCTTATAGCAGGTGGAGCACTTTGACTTGGTCATCTTAAAAGGAGCTCCATGATGAAAACATCTGGACACCCCTGTTCTAAACAAATCTGAATACAGAAAATGATTAAAGCAAAGTGTTCCTGTCTTTGTGTAACTTGATGTTTTACCGCAGAGCGTTTAACTCAAACGAGGGTCATTTCAAAGTTTTTAAAAGCGGTCCACTTTAAGAGCCTCAGCTCTAAACTCTGTCCCACGGATGAAGCTCCTTGATCTTTGTTTGAAGCTTAGCAGCAGAAATGAGCTGAACAAGAAGCGCGATGCAGTCCTGACATGTTCGTCTCTTTTCCTCCTGAAGGTAAAGCTCAGATAAGGAACGTGGAGTTCTTCCGGTCGGGTCAGGAGGGCTGGACCGATTATTACGACCCGCGGTACTCCGTGGCCTTCCTGGACGTGGGAGAGGTAGGACATGGCCTGCAGGACCAGGACTTGCTCCGTGTTGACGTCCCTGAGCAGAACCTTTCTTTGTTTGTGTGACAAGGTTTCAGGAAACGAGTCGTACGTCCAGGGCTGTGCCTTCCATGACGGCTTCTCTCCGGCCATCGGCATCTTTGGGACCGCAGGACTGAGCGTGGACGACAACATCGTCCACCACACTGTGGGAGAAGGTGAGTTCACTCAGAGTGAAGACAAGCGATGGACATCCATCGTCCTTCAGTCAGAGTCTCATGCTGACCTGTGTGCAGGTATCAGGGTCTGGGGAAACCAGATAACGCTCAGGAGGAACCTGGTGCTGCTGACGCTGTGGCCCGGGTCCTACCAGGACCGACAGGAGTCCTTCAACATCCAGTGGAACGCAGCAATAGAGGTTTGTCCTCAAAAATGGACACAATCAGCTGACGGTAAAGACAACGTGCTAAAAACCATTAAAGATGAAACACGAGAACAAAGCAGCCAAGTGAGGACAGTGTTCCTGAACACAACAGAGTCCCTGAAGACAACAGGAGGACAGGGTCCCTGAAGACAACAGGAGGACACTGTCCCTGAAGACAACAGGAGGACAGGGTCCCTGAACTCAGTATTGACCTAAAAGGAGAAGAGCCACAGCCTAAAAATAAACTGTCAGCTGGACATGTAGGGACAGATGGGACATGTAGGGACAGATGGGACATGTAGGGACAGATGGGACGTATAGGGACAGATGGGACTTGTAGGGACAGATGGGACATGTAGAGACAGATGGGACTTGTAGGGACAGATGGGACATGTAGAGACA